GAACATATGTATTTGTGTTAATGCCACTTCAAGAGCACTGACCCAGTAGGGTCAGTCTACGAAATCTTTTTTTTTCAAACGAACGTCGACATGCCAGGCTGTATCTTGGAATCAGCGCTATTTGAAACAGAACAAAACAAACCCTATTCCCTAATAACATGCTAATAATGTACGTTTCTTTTAGGTTTACACATATTTTTAGAAAAATAATGCAATTTTAAAATAAGTATAAATTTATGACTAAAACTTAGAAATAATTTTGTTTTGTAAGTAGCATTATCAACAAAATTGCACTAGATAATGTCACTGTGAAACTGCTACCAGAACTTTAAGAGCACAAGTTCAATAGTCTCAGAGTATCTTCGTCGCCAGATTTTCGGTTTCAAGAAAGTTTCGATTTAAATTTTATGTAGTGGGACTGATAAACCCAAACACCTCCACACTACATCGGAATAGACAAGGCGCACTTTTTCAACTACCCTAGACTATATTTTAAATCAAAAGTTATTTTTATGTTGGCAAGACCTCTTAAAAGTCAAAGATTATAAGTACATTTGCAACTTCAGGGCATGTCAAGAGCTCCTTCCCAGCTTTATATTAGTTATCATTCATCGAGTTACATTTATGTACCAAGTATTCAATTTAAATTATTCATTAATTATACATTTATAACTTATCGATGAGTTACAATTTATGAAGTCATTACAAAAAATTCCTACTGGTAACGCTTACATACACGCTCTCGCTTGTGCACACCACCCAGCCAAACAGTCATACCAAATGCTACGTACCCGTAATCCACACACAACATATACAGTTTTGGAAAAGGCAAATATGCGTTAAGATATTTGCCTTTTCAATACATACATATACACACACGCAGTTGATAAACTTATTGCGCACCGCACTTCAGCTGCAGACTTAAAGATTTCGGGCCAGCTTTTGCACACGGCACCACGTAACTCCTACAGACGAGCCGCGATTCGAGTCTTTTGATGTGTATAAAACCGAGAGGAGCAGCAACGAGTCGATCAGTGTAACARCATTTGGCGTTTACAAAGCTAATCTTGAGTGATAACCAAAACAGAGTGACTAGCTGACATTAGCTAAAGAATTCAGATTTTTTGAAGTGTAGGAAAAAGTATAAACAAATTAAAACAACAAAATGCCTTGTCCATGTGGAAGCGGTGAGTGAATGTTAAGGCTGAAAACGCTTTAATTATTGCAATTTTTCAGTTTTATTTTTCATATTTTTTTGTTTCTTAATTAATATTTAACGCGCTTTCTTCTTCGCTTAGGTTGCAAATGCGGTTCGGAGCCTAAGACTGGCAATTGCGGTTGTGGGTCGGCCTGCAAATGCTGTCCCTGTGGAAGCGGTAAGTGACCCATCGACATACATTTATATATTATATGTAGCATGAAGGAATATTGATAATTGTTTAATGTAATTACTTTACTTACAGCTTGCAAATGCGGCTCACAATCACAAAGTGGCAGCTGCGGTTGCGGCTCAGGCTGTAAATGTGGCCAGTAGAGGAGTGCAAATAACCGTACCTTATTATTATATTTAAGCTATATTACTTCTAATTTATTTTCATAATATAATTATATGCATACATATGTACATGTAATGAGAAACATTTGTTTATGCRTACATACATACATTAATGTAAGGCTTGTGCGCTTGATATCAAAATAAACCTATCACATTTCTTTATCAATAAATAACAGAAAGAAACAAATTACTMTAAATCGTCTCTTACGCAATATACACAATGCTTTCGGTCGTAGTCGGAAAATGAAAGTTGATAGTGAATTATTGTGCAACTCTCGAACTTAGTTCGATCTCACCGACATACAATATTTGGTGAGAGTATGTGATAACAGCACAATGATAACAAAAATGCCATGTGCTTCCATATTGTATATGTAAGTATATATGTACATGCATACATATATACATATATGTTGCTACATACAACATGTTCAAATGTAATAATTTTTCACACATTTGTTTTCCTAATCTCTAATGACTTAGATGGGAGCAGTGGACAATTTTAAACAAAACTTTTTGATAACAGAATAAAGATAAAAAATTCTAGTAATTGAAATATTGCATTCTCCCTTAGCGGCCGTAAGAGTATGCCACCATGTGACTGAAAATTSTATAAATCCAAAAAAATTTCAAGCCTCTAGATACCGAATATTTGGACTCCAGTACCTATTTTTGACTTTTCACCGCAAATATCGGTCAATGTATGAGATAGATGTATGTATGACTGAAATTCATACATAATATGAGTYGAAAATGGGTAGAATCGGGTCAATACTTCCCTAAACCCTCATATACCTACTATACAATTTTTCGAATTTCCGGGTAATTATATACCGCATCAACAAGTGTGTTACCTTAATAAAAATGAGAGAGYGTGTTTTACTTAATACAGTGTATCTTTCTGCCGAAACTGAATAAAATTAAGAGAAAACTTAAAATAGGCCCCATATAGTAAAACGCATGACTTTACTTCATATGAGTATGCTATGTTAGGTACCCTAATAAATCTCTGGTAACATTTTATTAAGTAGTACAGTAGTAGTATGTGTTTTACACCTTAATGTAATTCCCTGAYTTTGTTTCTTGCAAGTTGTAAGACTATAAAATGTTTCTTTTCTTATATGTATTATTTTACAAATYATATTTTTATAAACATATGTTACTACTCATATGTTTATAAACATGCTGCAGCAACATATTACTGGTTGCAATCTTTGCTAGACCATAGCGCCACCTATAAGTGAAAAGTAAAAACAGGGCGCTTGTAAGGTGGATTTTTTGTATTAATGAAGCAGATTGGCGGATGGATAGAATGTCCATATTACAAATGTACATATATCCCAACACTGCTACTCCACTGTCTCTCATATCAGCGTCTTTCAATCAAGCGATCTCATCGACACATAATTGTATACCGGAGCATTATTATATAAAGCCATCATGTGTGTAACACCCAAAAGGAAACGTCGGACATCCTAAAAAGCATCTACAAATTATCAACGTGAGGAGCTGAGTGATTTAGCCATGTCCGTAATTCTGTCTGTCTGTCTGTCTGTCTGTATGAAAGCGACTCCCGTATTTTTTGAGATATCGACCTGAAACTTTACACACATTCTTTTCTCAAGGAGCTGATCATTTGTCACAACCGCCGATATCGAACAACTATAACATTTAGCTTCCATTCAAACTTAATTATCCAGYAAAGGTCTTTGTATATGAAACTTTTCATATTTGACAAGTTATCTTCATAAAAATTGACACAGGTTATTATGGCCACAGATTAATATTAGAGCCTTAGAMARCATGAAAGGAAGCAGTCTCTATRCCGCTATGTCTGCACTTGGTATCCCCGCAMAGCTAATACKACTGTATAAGCTGACGTTGAKCAACCGGAAATCAGGAAAGACCTCTCCGAGCCAAACGAGGTTTCAGATTTCTTACCGTGTGAMTTTTTCAAYCTATTGCTGAAGAAATAATAYGACCTGCAAAGCTAAAGAGAGAAGATACAATCTTCTATCAATCAATCAATAACCGCGAAAACTAAAGTCCTATGGCGACGAACCAAGACCAAACTCTAGAACTCCCTCATCATTCCTGTCTTGGTCTATCGTGTGGAAGCATGGGCAATGATATTATCTAATGAGTCGGTCTGAAGAGTGTACGAGAGAAGAGTTTTGCAGAAGATATATGGTCCTTTGCGCATTGGCAACGGCGAATACCGCAGTCGATGGAACSATGAGCTGTACGAGTTATACGACGACATTGACATACATGTAGTTCAGCGAATTAAGAGACAACATCCACGCTGGCTAGTTCATGTCGTCCGAATGGCTGAAAACATTCCAGCTCTGAGAGTACTTAACGCAGTACACGCTAGGGGAAGCAGCGATAGAAGAAGATCTAATTTTGTGGAAAATTATTGCATAATTTTGCTCATTCCAAACATTTCAAAAATCTTCAATAAATTATATAAATGACATATGATCCTGACAGATGCTTCTATCTAAAATGTGTTTTAAATTTATTTAATGTATGATCAGCAAGGAGTTTGAGGGTATATATATTCTTCTATATTGCCAAATGCACCTGCTCATATTCTGAATTTGTTCGGCCGCACTTTTTTGATCCCAAAAGTGAAAACGTCAAATGTTTGCTCCACAAGAATAAATTTTCAATTGTGTTCGCTGACTGAATTTATTAAGTGCCGCAGTTAAGGATATTTTCTTTATGTTTGTTTTTGTTGAACGTGCCGTCTTTTTTCTTCGTACTCAGCTCTTCAGCAAGGAAAGTTAAAAAATTATGTTCATTTAGATGAATGTCCTTAATGCGCGTGTTATAGCGTTTAAATGATGTATGATCAGTAGAAATGTACAGAAATACACAAACACACRCACAMATGTGGCTGCAYTCGACTTGGTCGCTGCCATCTTAAYTCATCCATGTCTTGGCTAACACCTTACTTTTTTGTGTGTTTCTCTCGCTAAGTGCACGAAGTTTTGGCAGTGGCTGAAGGTTGGCTGTTTTGATGTTTCACCTTGTTAATGAAGTTGTTATCTCCGCTACAGGATCAACACCTTTTTCGTGGCCGCTCGGCAGCGTGTACGAGTGCAACGACTTTGTTCATCGTTCGTCTGTTTTTGGTSCTTAAATATTATGGGCATGTGTGACAGCGGCATTGGTGCGAATGATAAATTTTGATAAATTGATTAAGGGGAATTAATTAATTAAGTCTTTGTTCGTGAGGGCGAGTGAAAACATRAGTTTTTGATCCTTTTACATTATAATTATATACATTTCATACAAACAAGTGAGCATTAATTGGAAAGAGGCRAACAAATGTGCCTAACTTTCGGGAATATATATAATTCTAAACGAGAGGTTACAGTAAACGAAATTGAGTTCAAATAACTTTTGTAGAGGATAGCTTATTGGTAATGTAGAGAAGTACTGAATGCCGGAGAAATTCGGATACAATAGTTCTAAGAATTCTTAAATGTTGTGAAAGTTGTTTAAATATTAAAATTTCTGTTATAATATATATGGATTTTATATACACATATAAATAT